CAAGGTGTAACAGTACCCTCCCCCTGTGGTGAAACGGAAGCGAGGGAACATCTACGCAAACCTGACACTAATCGTGTTCCGTGACGTCACTCTAATTTAAGCAACATAATGTCACTTAATAATATTTCTGTGCGAAGTTACACGTGTTAGCGTGAAGGTTATCGAGATAAACAACTTTGAAGTGAATTCGTTTTCCATTTTTCGGGTAAATTTGCAATTCAGCGTCCGAGTTCAGATGTATACTTTGCTTTAAGATAAAGGAAAAGATCATGAGCAATTTCTGATATAGAGTAAGAGGAGGACGATGTTCGATTAGCATGACAATTACGAAACTAGATTTCAACGTCCATGCGGTTTCTGCTTGCATTTGTAAACAGTGCCACGGCCGTAGAAAAGAATTGAATCATTTGCCGCAGAATCTCAAAAATTTCAAAGATTTCTTTCAGAGATGATTACCCTGAAAGCGTGAAGAAAGAGCGACTCTTCTCTGTCGAAAGATCGCTGAAAGAAACAACTAGCTTTAATTTAGCTTCGCAGCACCGTTCGCAAAGAGACTGAAAGTTGAAGACGGACAATCCTCATGGTCCAAGTACATTAAGATAGTGCACCTGGTCTCTTGTTAGAGCTTTAACGGGCGGCACAATAAATATAGTGACTGCTTTCTTCTTGGGAGGAGAGGCGATCGATCACTGGCGCTGCTTGATATAATAACTGATTTTCCATAACAGTTGGTAACGAAACGGAGACATCGTTACCTTCGAAAAACATATCGGTAAAACTTCCGCACAGCCTTATACTACATTATGCATTCAGTTCTTGGATAGAGATAACAATGGGAAACAAATTTGTTTTACAATAGTATGGGGCTGTGCGGAAATTTTACCACCATGGAAACAGTTTGTTTATCATCTTGTTCGTTACCAAAAGGCGTTAACTAATAAAAATCTTTACTTAGAGTGACGTCACGGAACACGATTGGCATAGACGTTGCCTCGCCTTTCAATGGTCGTTATTTTGGGGTGTCTGTTTTGGTGACCATACCGCAGACAAGGAGCCAAAATGACCCTGGGCTCGAAAATTGCAGGCTATAATTGGACAACTGGTCATCTGGGAAGTAAATCTCGCTGGGAACACGGACTTTCACGCAACGGTCTTCAATCGCTGTTTGTAAACCATATTAATATTTCGAAGGGCTAAACTGCAGAATATCCAGACTTTCTTTTTGGTAAGTTGGTGCAATTCTACCCGATCAGATCCTTCTCTTCAACCGTGCAGTAGTGTAAGTTCAAAAAAAATCATTCGATGTCTAGATTTATAATCAAATTCAGAGCTCGCACCAACGTGACAGATCACGATGTTTCATTCACAAAGGTAACGAAACCTTTTTTCGATGGAATTGTGCAGAAAAAGAGTCTGTTCCGATGATAGTGAGCGGAATACGTTCACCATGTTCGGCGAAAATAATTTCTTACTTTAGAAAAGTGCATTGCACAGTTGAAGGAATCTTAAAATAATCTTAAGCTTTACCCCTTAAAATTGCAGCACAATTTATGAACCATCTTAACGATAATGAAGGCTTATTAGGAGAATTTCAGTCTGCATATAAATCTCATCACAGTACACAGACTGCGCTTGTGAAAGTTCAAAATGATATTTTGAAGGCTACTGACAGTAATAGATCGGTTAATTTTCTATTGCTTGATTTATCAGTTGCGTTTGATTCTGTCGATCATTCGATTTTGCTATCAAGACTACAGAATCGTTTCGGTATTAGGAACGATACCTATCCCAGAGTACTACTAAGGCCATTGTTCAAGCTTACATAACATCGCGTTTGGACTATTGTAATGCCCTACTGTATGGTCTCCCGAAGTATCTGATTAATAGACTTCAGCTCGCCTTGCTACCTCGACTAGAAGGCAGGAACATATCACACCAATACTAAGGAGCTTACATTGGCTGCCAGTTCATTATAGGATAGTTTTTAAAATATTGTTACTGACTTACAAAGCTCTGAATGGACTGACCCCAGATTACCTTAAAGGTCTATTGAAGTATAATGACTCTCGTCGCACACTAAAATCTTCAAACAACAGGTTGCTTGATGAGCCTAGGGCGAATCTTAAAAATGTATGGTGAAAGGGCTTTTTCCGTGGCGGCACCAAGGCTCTGGAATAAACTACCACTACAGATCAGGTTTTCATCATCAGAGGCAGTTTTTAAGGCTAATCTCAAGACTTATCTTTTTATGTGTGCATTTGATTTGTAGTTTTTACTCGTAGTTATAGTGTATTTAATTCTTGGATTTTAATTTTTACGGTTTTTAGAGTATTGTAAAGCGCTATGGACAATTAATGGAAGATGGCACTATATAAATGTATTTAATTAATTAATTAATTAATTTCCGATTTTTAGTAATGAAGCTAAACTCGATATGGAATATACTGTACATCCGATCGACTTGTGATCAACTGTACTCATTCACTTGTACTTGTAAACTTCTACAAAAAACAATTTGGCTGTAACTTTGTTATGAATTTATTATTTCAAAAACTCTCAAAAAGAGTTCAGAATGTCAACATCATTGACAGAAAGAAGCTACAATGTAGTCCAAAACCTCTCATAATTTTTCCTCATTCAAAATGACTTATGAAATATTCAATGAGTATTCTCAAAGTTTAATAATATGTGTAGCTATGATTATCATAATTAAAGCATTTGACTTTTAAAGTTGCTCAGACCTGTTTGTCTTTCTTTGTTCATTTCTTTTTTCTCTGTTTAGACCTAAGCCTGAGTCATTTCATATCTGGAAACCTGGAACTAAATTTTAAGCATGACTTTTTCTTTTTTAGAGTCTTCATTACCTCTAAAAAGAGGACAAGAAATTAAAATTACAATGGACAAAGGTAAGTAACTACAGATAAATTGATATCAATTGAAAGTTATCTCAACAAAGTCAGTTTGACTTGATCAATGCTCAGTTTTAATGAATGAATGGCAAGACTGAAAAAGAGAGATACTTACCTGGTGTGTTGTTTGTTCAATAATTTGACCAAAGAGTGATAATTTTTTTCAAGTCTCCCTTTTAAAAAAAAAAAAAAAAAAAGGTTCATCGCCAATTTGCAATGTTTGGCTAAATTTTAGTTGCCGATTATATTCTTAACTCACTATGGCAACCCAAATGGTTGCAGCTTAGAGTGCTACCGTTAATTTAGGTCCAATTTATTTTGAAGAAAAATAAATTCTTGTAGGTGGTGTCACACTTACGCATAGAGTGGCCATATACATGTCTACTTAGTATTTGTGGATGAATACAAGCATACTAAAACCGGGACGTTTCAAATTCATCTTGACTTTATTATCAAGTAAAAGGATGACAGTTGTAGTTTCAAATTTAAAAATTGACTGAGTTCATTAGAATGTCAAGTGTTTCTTGATCTTTGGTGTTCAAAGATCTCTTCTAACACTGGTCAACATGACACTGGTAATGTATGAGGAGTTCCAGTGTTGGTTGTTTTTCACAGATGCTTGTCAGCTGGCAGCCTCTTTTCTCAATCATCATGCCGAGGAATGGCAAGTTGTTTTTATCGATAATCTCCTTTGTAAACTGTATTGAAGGATGGCATATATATATGTTTTGCAATTATAGGGGAAAAAACAGAGAGACTGTACTTTCATCCCTACAAGCCTGTTTTGTGATTGCTCACTTGTTAGGGGATTTTAAAATCCCTTGATGAGTGAGCAATCACGAAACAGGCTTGTAGGGATGAAAGTATAGTCTCTCTGTTTTTTCCCCTATTGCAACACATATCGCACTCTACTCCTACCTATCGAGCACTGTAAAACGGGAAAATCAATATATGGACCACCTCTATATATATTTATATATATATATATATATATATATATATATATATATATATATATATATATATATTTATATAATAAGCTCAGTTATGCACGCATTCTGATTGGTTCTTACTTATGATCTATTGGAGGACAGACATATAGATGATGTCATCTTTAAAACTTTTTAAATTCTTTATTATATAAAACAAATAGATTCCAAGTTGCCATGCATCTGTTCAGTAATAGATCACAGATGAAATCAAAATGTGGTAAGAACATCAGTGACACACTCGCCTGCGCCTCGTGTGCCACTTTTTTGTTCTTATCACATTTTTATGTCATCTGTGATCTATTACTGAACAGATGCATGGCAACTTGGAATCTATTTGTTAAGTATATAGATATCTGTTTTAAAAAATGTTGCAATTTGAAGACATTCATGAAATATACATATATCTTTTGTTTTCTCATTCAAAACAGACACTTTTTGATGAGGAAAGAAGAGGCATATAGATATTCCATATATTTTTCTCAATCTGCAATGTTTTTGAAATTGGGTGTATATGTTATATGTGAAACCAATCTAAAGGAAATGTAAGGTGGTCATGTAGTTAACAGAAAGAAGAACAAAAAATAATTTAAACTACCTCTGTGTGTTGTACACTCTGCATAGTGCAAAAACCATTGAAAAGTTATAGTTTCCATGTTAAAACAATTGTTTTCATTTTAAGCCTGGTAACTTATGCATCTAAGATTAACTCCTGTGGTACTCCAACAGGGAGCACATTTCATACGGTGGTGACAGGGCATACAGTAGTCACAAATCCAAGCACAAGGCCTCAATCAAATGATATTTCAGAAGTGCAGGTATGTAAATATCATGTTTGGATATTAAACAATCCTCACCAAGCTAGATTTTATCGTCTTCCATTTGCACTTCCATTTTTGTCTCACATTGTAATGCAATGATCTTTGTTAGCTCATTTTCTGACTTGTTTGACTTAACATCCTAACCAAGAAGTCACCAATTTGATTAAAATGTGTTATTGACTAGTGCCCTATTTAAAAGACAGTTGAGGAGAACTGCTGTTGTTGTATTTGTCCGAAAATATTTGAGGGTTTTTGTTCAGCAGAAAGTTGTTTGAAATTTTCTTTTATTAATAACCAACTCATGTGCACCCACACTTTGCACATGATGAATTAAAATAGAACTGGCAAAACAAGCAGAAAAAGAAAGCTGCTTGCTAGAGAATGTATTGAACAATCAAAGGCAATGGAATTTGAAAAAAAAAAAAAGTTAAACACTCCAAAACTAAATTCAAAACTGATTTTCTATGCTATTTAATTTTTTTTGTTCTTACAGAACAAAAAAAATTTGACTTAGATGTGGCAAAATGTACCTGGCAATACACAACAGAATAACTGGAGCTCCGGCAGGTGCTGGATCTTATTGAAAGCGCTGTCTAATTTATTTATTGATTATTTAAGTACTAATTAACTTATCTGTTATTAATTGAACGGATGTATTAATTACTGAAGATTTTCTTAGATCTTTATTTAATATGTATTCATTATGGTCACTAGACTCTGAGAGAACATAATGAAGGACTGAGAGCAGTGCTCAGGGAGTGGAAGAAGGATTTAGAAGTATGTATCTCAAATAATATTACAAGATAATTTGTTTTTATTAACTGAGTTGATAATGTAAATTGCCACTGTAAAGAGTTTCTAAGATGATGTTTATTTTGCTGTAATAATTCATTTGGGGTTCTATTGAAAATATGTGCTTTTTTTGCAGAATGAAAATAATAAGATAACGTGGTTGCAAAGGCGTATAGAAGATCTGCAAAATGAATTAGAGGTATGTTATTTTTTGTCATTGGTTTTTGCAATAATTGTTTCCCACGATTTACCTATCAAAACATCTTGCAAGATTAATTATGGTAATAGGAGCAAGTGGAGTTCAATTCGGTCTGTAATCCAGCATACAAGTGATTAACAATATCAGATGGCTGCAAAGCAGGAGTTGGATTTGTCAATCACGAGTATGATTACACTTATAGAATTTGAGAACACAAAAACTGTTACTAATTAATCATAACCATTACAATTTCCGAAAAAAAAGAAACAGTACAATTAGGACAAACATCTCTGCTAGAGAAATTGTCAAAAGTAAAAATTCCCCCAGTTTGGAAATTTCCCGGTTTTTTTTTTCAGGATAAGTGATTGTTGCTATGGTTATTTTGATCAATTCTGTGATTGGTAGCTTCAACTGTCCAATTATAGGTGTCCAATTAAGTTATCTGAGACACAACTTACTCTGGCTAGGAGAGAATTAATGTAAATGGTATTGTCTAGGATTTTGAATCGGGAAGTTCAGGCAATCATTTTGGATAAGGCAGTCCTCACATTAATGAATGCCACAAATAACAACATTCCTAATGGCATAACTAAACAATAAATAAAACAGTCTTTTTACTCACAGTGGGGTGGTGGGTTACATTTTTCTCCAGACTAGTGGACTTTAGCTGGGAGTAATTTTAAAAATATGTGCTTTTTTGCAGAATGAAAATAATAAGATAATGTGGTTGCAAAGGCATTTAAAAGATCTGCAAAATGAATTAGAGGTATGTTATTTTTTGTCATTGGTTTTTGCAATAATTGTTTCCCTCGATTTACCTATCAAAACATCTTGCAAGATTAATTATGGTAATAGGAGCAAGTGGAGTTCAATTCGGTCTGTAATCCAGCATACAAGTGATTAACAATATCAGATGGCTGCAAAGCAGGAGTTGGATTTGTCAATCACGAGTATGATTACACTTATAGAATTTGAGAACACAAAAACTGTTACTAATTAATCATAACCATTACAATTTCCGAAAAAAAGAAACAGTACAACTAGGACAAACATCTCTGCTAGAGAAATTGTCAAAAGTAAAAATTCCCCCAGTTTGGAAATTTCCCGGTTTTTTTTTTCAGGATAAGTGATTGTTGCTATGGTTATTTTGATCAATTCTGTGATTGGTAGCTTCAACTGTCCAATTAAATTATCTGAGACACAACTTACTCTGGCTAGGAGAGAATTAATGTAAATGGTATTGTCTAGGATTTTGAATCGGAAAGTTCAGGCAATCATTTTGGATAAGGCAGTCCTCACATTTATGAATGCCACAAATAACAACATTCCTAATGGCATAACTAAACAATAAATAAAACAGTCTTTTTACTCACAGTGGGGTGGTGGGTTACATTTTTCTCCAGACTAGTGGACTTTAGCTGGGAGTAATTTTTTTTCAACAGTTAAAAGTCTTCTGCTCTGTGTCAGCATGGTAGATTGTTAACATCAAGTACATCCCAAATCCCTTTAGGCTTTGGATTGAAACTGTATATTAATTGTTTAATTTCAGGAGATGGAGAAGAAATTACATGAGAAAGTCAATGAATTATCAATCCTGAACACGCAACTTGAATTGGAAGTCATGAGGAACCACAGAGCAAAGGAAGCGATAGAGGAAGTTGAAGTAGAGATGGAAAGACCTAAGCCAGCAAGAAGAACAGTTGACAGGGACATGGATATAGGTAAGTAACTAGAGTTAGATATATTAAAAAATGCTCAAACTTTTTGATGATGAAATGAAATACACATATTTTAAGATAGTACATGGGCAGTGTTTACAAGAGAAAAAGTTCCACTGTCATATATGCTAATTTTTTGGTCTTGAGAAACCTTGAGGCCCAGGAAAACAAAACCAACTGTTTGCCACAGGAGCAGACATCATAGGTGTACAATATATATTACCACCAAGTAGGAAGATTCCACACTTGCATAGTGCAAAAATCACTGAAAAGGAATTATAGTTTCTACTACTTAACAATAGTTGTCATTGTAGACATGGTAACAGATTCCCTGGAGAGAACTCCTGAAGGTGAACCAAGGAACCAACAAAACACCTATCGTGACAACAATTCAGCAGTACGTGTACGTAACTTTTATGTTTAAATAGTCAATAAATATCAGTGGTGAATTTCACAAGATTGAAAGTAACATGCTTAAGCCACTTTTAAGTTGAAAAAAAAAAAGTCAAAATCAAAACCGCTGTTTTGAACAATTGAATCAGCAGAATTGAACAAAAGGTCTGTCTCAGATAACTGTTAGATAGTTACCCGCAAAATACATTTCTGATCAGAGTCTCCCGAGACTCTGCAGGACACTTCTATGTTTCTATTGGTGGTTGGAATTTGGTGTTTTCAGAGTGTTGACATAACTTGACATGGTCATCCAAAGGCATGAATTGCTGGGGAAACTTTGGGAGCAAAAATAAACTACTTGGTTTTTAGGTGAATGAGCCTTCTTTGAAGGAATTAATAGGGTGTGTAAACTTTATGGATTGCCTTGAAATTTGGTCCATTAAGACTCCAAAGATACCAACCTAAAAAGCTGTGTGGGGGTACTTTGTATTCTGTTTCTTAAAATGGATCTGTTGCAATAGCCTCCAGGGTATTGTGTGTTGGTAAAATTTTGATTAGCAAACAGATGAATAATGCAAAACAACCAATAGAATATAAAAAATCTCTATGGTGTTTTTTAAGACAGGATTAAGACTGCAAAGAAGTTTTAATTTTTGAAGTCAGATTTGATATGCAATTAATTCTCTCAGAAACATCATCCATTTCAAATTGTCATGCCCTATTCAGTTTACCTTTGGATCAAGCTAAAACAAAATAGTTTTTGATGAAAAGTGCATTTCATAGCCTTTCCATTGATATATAGTGTATGGTGGTTATGCTTTAAATAGCATTTCAAATCAAATAGTGCTTAAAACCTTTCTGCGAAGGAGACCTGCAAAGGTCTATCGTATCCATATTGAAGTTTCCAAATAAATTTACAGCTCAGTATTGAAGTCTGTTGCACAAACACTCATTGAAAGTAAGATAGTAGCCAAAGATTTTGAAAATGTTTTGGTTTGACTTATTTTTTTAGGCCTTTCACCTGGGAACTGAGTTTCAGATGCTGAATAATTCATTAGGTAATGTTAAGTAACTAAACAGATGGATAAGATATTGTGGAAAAGTGTTTAAACATATTTGAATGCCAAGTAGTGTTCCCTTTTCATGCTGTGTGGGTTCTTAGGAAAATGTATGGCAACATCAGGATTGCTCCTTTTAACCCTTTTGTTTGTAGAGGTGATGGATCTGAATGGATCTTGAATAACTGAAGTTGCTACTCTGTGATGTACACTCCTAGTGACTGCATAATGCAAAAATCATTGAATTGTTATAGTTTCCTTGTTTTAACAATTGTTCTCATTGTAGGCCAAGCACCTTCTGTGCCTGCCAACTCAGAAATGTTTTCCACTGGTGCCATAGTGACAGGGCGAACAGTGACTCAATCGAGGGAACTGCAAGTATGTAAATATCTTGTTTTATTATATAACTCCACTGGGTATAGCACAAATAACACACAAAAGAAGTGTAAACATCACAAGATGTTTGGACAGATGGTTATTTTGTACTGTTGAAAAACCTGTTTAACTGGTCAATTATGTGTGCCACCCTTTTCTAGTTGCTTCACTTTTCACACTTGATAAGGAATAATTATTGCATATAATAAAACAGTATCTAATTGTTATATAATTAATTAGAAGTTTCTGATTGTATTATCAATGGGCATTTTATATTACTCTTTGTTAGTATCTTGACTCACACTCCAAGCTTGTCAAAAATACAGCACAACTTGTAAAAATAGTCAGTGATAGCATACACCAAAATGTCTGATGAGATATCATTTTTAGTGTGTAAGTGTTGGTGGTAAACTTCAAATTGAGATTGACAGTAACCATTGAAGCATTAATATTTGTTAATCTGTTGTGCTTATTAAGAAGAATTTTCTTTGAAGAAAATTTGACTTAAAACTCAACTAATTTTCACACAGGTAATTTAGTGTTAACAACTGAGTTGAAAACGTAAATTAGCCACCGTAAAGGGTAAAAAAGCTGATGTTTCGAGTGTTAGCCCTTCATCAGAGTGACCCTTGCGAAATGGCTTTTGGAATTCCTAGGAATAAAGGTGTGAATTTTCACGGTAAATTCGGACTGGGAATTCCCAACCATAACAACTCTGGTTCTAAAAACCTAGAAATTCCCAGAAATTCCAAGTTTATAGCCAACAGGACTTGGAATTCCTAGGAATTCCAACTCAGAGAACCAATGACTTTCCCTGAAAAGCTGTAAATCTAAAAAATTCCTAGGAATTTCTGGGAATTTTCAGGAATTTTAAGGAATGTTTAATAATTACTGGGAATTTTTAAGCAAAAATTTGAGGCTAATGATATAAAATAAATACTTTAAATTAAAAAAAAACCCAGCTAAAATTCAAGTATTCAATGAAATTTATTTAGAAGCTTAATTAAGGCTTACATGTAAAATATTTTTGATTAATTATTAACATCAACTTGTCGTAATATTAAGATGGAATTTGATTTATTTTTCTTTTCTTACAAACTTCATATGGATTAATTCTCAATTACAGCTATTCATATAAAATAGTCCTACTCAATCATTAAATTTAGTTTGACAAATCTGTTGATTCTTTTCCATAAAATACAATATCTTAAATTATATTTGAAAACCAAGCACTCTTGGGAGTGAAGGGGTTAATTACAGATAAATAAAATTGTAACTGTAACAATAAATTCGAGTGAAGTTATCCTAAACTGCAAACTTAGCTGCTGTTTGTATTTTTTCCCTGGGCTCACAATGAGTTGGCCTTGAATGAGGTTGTCTACAAGAAGCTTGACCATTTTGTATCTGGATTCCAAGACATCTGAATTTGAAAAAAAATATTATATTTAAATATATATATTAATGGCTCAGACCAGGCCTTTAAGATGGCTATAAGGAAAAGGGCATTCATTGGATTCTCAAATTGAGAAATCTCTGTTATATCGAGTGACTTTTATATTGGAGTTAGTACATCTCTCTCATAGATTTTACTAAAAAGGGGCTGAATACATTATTTTGTTTTTATCAAGGAGGGCTTCTTTATGTAACAAGGTTTGTTTAATAAAAGTTCCTATTATGAATCTTGAATGTTCCCAAACGTGACTAGAGGAATCTTGAAACCTTACTGATAGGTTTATTTGATTAAAAAGTATAAGCTTAAGAAACTGCGGAATGCAAGTGACCGATTCGATTCTCAAAATTATTCTAGTTTCAGTTGCGCCGAGCGTTATGTAAGCTTAATTCAACCCGCTACATCTATTCTTTTATAAGATTTTGATCACGTAACGAATATCGCAATTTTTACTCACCACAAACTTTCAAAATCGTAGCTTTACAGATGGCCACTCGACCCTTGTTTGTACCGGTCAATATGTCAACTGTTGTCCCTTCTTTTAACTCCACGGCGCCAACGACTTTCTTTTCTTTTACAACACTCACGCTGTTCTCGTTTTCCCATTGAACCACAATAAAAGCTATCTTTATGAATGTTATATTAAGCAAAACAGTTGAGATGAGCGCCAAATGGAGTCTTCTTGGTTTCCGATCACGGGCATGATCACGTGGATCTTTTAGGACTTGTCATTGGCTAGCAAAGTGAATCCGCTGACTTGCCGATTGCATTGTTAAGAGAAGCGCACAACTTTAATCTGACTTCTCCGACCGGTTCTCTGCGTTTAGACGATGGATACCTTGGTGATAAAAATAATGATTTGAGCTCACTCTATGTAGAAATAATCGACAAGAATCGATCGTATTACAAATGCACGATTTGTGGCCGAAAGTTGTCGAGGAAACAAAGACTCGAAACTCACTCGAGTTGTGTTCATGGCAAATGTGAGAAATAACACAAGCCAATCACAGTTTGAATGCGACTACAAATCGTCTTTTAACCTCATATTTATAAAAGAAGGATACCACATTAAGAAGTATAAGAGATACATAGATGATCCCAGTGTACCGGTACCTAAATCTACAAAGCTTGACCGTAGCAAGCGTTCAGCAACACGTTCCAACACCGCCATCTCGATTCCTCAGTCAGTCGTTTCCACTGAACTTAAAGCAGTGGTGACAACAGAGTAGAATGCGTCTTACAAAGGAGAAACATTTGTACAAGAGACAGAAGTACCTATGTGCGATTACAGAGGTGCGTTGGAACTCTGGTCCACAAACAGTTATAGGTAGTTTGTATAGCTGAGAATTCCTAGGAATTCCTAGTCCTCACAAAACTGGAGTCTTCCTTTCCCAGAAATTCCCAGTAATTCCAAGCTTTTTAAATCAGAGTTAATTTGCATAGTTGGGAATTTTTAAGAATTCCTAGGAATTCCCAGAAGACTGGGAATTCAGTTTGCAAGGGTCATTTGCATAGTTGGGAATTTTTGAGAATTCCTAGGAATTCCCAGAAAACTGGGAATTCAGTTCGCAAGGGGACTGGGAGTGACGAAGGGCTAACGCTCGAAACGTCAGCTTTTTTACCCTTTACGGTGGCTAATTTACGTTTTCAACTCAGTTGTTAACACTAAATTACCTGCTCTACTCTCCCACCGACGCGGCACAACAGTTTCTTTAGAAACTTACCCTTTAATTTTGACACAGCTGGAGGAGGAAATATCTCAGGCTGCAAAGAAAAATTGTTTTCAGAGTTGATGATTATTATCACCTATTTTATTTATGTAGTGATTATTCAGCTACTAATTAACTTATCTGTTATTAACTGATGTATTAATTAGTTATGATTTTCTTAGATTTTAATTTATATGTTGTTTTATTACGGTTGCCAGTTTTTGAAAGAAGAAAATGAAGCCTTAGAAGCAAAGCTCAGGGAGCTGGAGGAGTATTTAAAAGTATGTATCTCAATTAATATTACAAGATAATTCATGTTTATTAACTGAGTTGAAAATGTAAGTTGACCATGGTAAAGAGTTTCTAAGGTGATGTCTTGAGTGTTAGCCCTTCGTCAGAGTTAAGGATGATAAAATGGTATCATAGTTCAAGAATTGCTGATTTGGTTAACACTGCAATCACTTCATTCATGAACTGATTAATTCAATAATGCTTGGTTCTTTCTAATTGTTACATATATTTATCATTTTTCTGGCCCTTTGGCAAAAACATATTTAAATATGTACATATGCACTTGAGCTGATCAATAAAAATTGCTACATGAGCTATGTGTACTTCACTGAAAGGGCAACTGGATATTTCATTTGTTGACTTGCCAGAAGAAATATCACAAAATTATGCAAACCCATGCCCCCCTCCCCCCTTGGATGTTAGTGGAACTGTTACATTTAGTTATATAGTAATCATCAGTTTGTTTAGAAGCTTACCATACACATGATTAGAACTTTAAGTTTTCGTTTTAAGTGCAATGTGAATGAGTGGTCATGCTACTTCATTAGGCACCAAAAACAGCCACTCTTAGGATTCAGAGTATTATTAAACCCAGAATTAATTACAAATCAATGTAAATGAAGCAGCAATGGAACTTGCTAGTGGAATTTTATCTTGCCATATTAACTTGTGATTTGCTTTTCAACAGAAAAAAATGGGAACGAGATTGAAGTTGCAACGAGAATATGCCTATCTGCAAGGAAAATTTAAAGTATGCTATTTAATTTCTTTTTTTTAATTTACCCATGAAAACCATACGATTTTGAACTTGGAATTTCAGACAATCATTTTGGATGAGGCAGTCTTCACCTTCATGAACGCTACAAATAGTGATGCTAAATAACTGGACTTTCACTCAAAAAAACGAGCATTGTAATTGATTGATTCTTTGTCACGTGCCTCTGATCAAATTCAAATGTATCCCGACCGCCTGCGCGCCTAATACAATAGTACATGACTTTTTAAGGGAGAGTCTAAATATATTACAAAGCACTTAATGTATGATCCCTCGGGAAACTAGTTAGTCTTGTTTTCCCTTGAGTCCTGATATAACTGTTTCCCAAAAAACCAAAGAATGAGTAAAACAATATTTTTACTTTCAAATAGGGTTACATTTCTCCCCGCACTAATAGACTGTAACTGGAAGTAATTTTTTTTAAATTTTAATGTGTTTTACTACTTGTTAGCGGAGGTGTATTGCTATAGTAAATCCCAAATCCCTCCAGGCCTTAGGTTGAAATTGTACAACTGTTACATTTTAGTCAAGGAAGGACACAAAATACATGAAAGAGGTTGAAATATCGAGAGTAAAGCTAAGAATCACAGAGGAAGCTACGAAGAACCGCATACTAGAGGAAGAATTACAAAACAAAAATAAAGAATTACACAGAGTTAAAGAATATATGAAAATAACTCAGCATGCAAAAAGAACAGTTGAAGAGAACGAGGTTCATGGCCAAAAGCAACAAAATTGTAGCGGGCAAGTCCGGCGCGGTGAAGTTCAGCTGGACAGGGTTGTTGGGAGAGGGGCCTATGGAGAAGTTTGGAAAGGAGAGTTGCGTGGCATCAAGGTTGCTGTAAAGAAACCTCGCGAAAATTCATCTGAATGTCGCAATCTCTTTGAGCAAGAACTTACGATTATGTTGCAGCTTCGACACCCGAATGTGGTGAAATGTATTTGTAAGATAGATGATGATGATGGATTACCGTGTATAGTCCTAGAATATGCCGACGGCACCCTCGGAGAACTTTTGAAAGTGAGGTCATTGACACATCTTGAAGTATTCTCCTTTGGTCTTGATGCAGGTCGTGGCCTCTTATATCTACACACTCGTCGTCCGGTTCCGATTCTTCATCGGGATCTTCATCCCGGTAACCTACTCTTCTTCCTAATCGCCAAACTCCCAGGTAGAATGCTTAAGCTTTGCGACTTTGGTACCGCAAATTTTTTGCGCAAAACCATGACACCTGACCAAGGAACACCATGCCTCAATGCCCCTGAGGCAAAAACGCAGCACTACACAACAAAAGTAAGAGAAATGTTTCTGCTTCAATCATGCTTCTATTGTAAGGCTATCTTTACATTTTGTTGGTGCGATTGCTAAGACTACTTAGAAAGAACGTCGGAGCTCCCTGGGATTTGTTGGAGATCCCAGAGACAGCGAATGTTAGGAAAGAAAGTTTCTCGTCAACCGAGTGTCAAGTCAGATTTACTCATTCTTTTGTTCGTTATCCTCGCGATCTCAGCAATCCAGTAGTAACCAGGCTAAGAAATGTTACTTTCAATTGGTACTTTGTGGCTAACGTAGTCGACAAAAAATCTCAGATGAATTTTCAATTGAGTATCAAAGAAAGTCAGATACCTTCCCCTTATTTAGTTGAAGCCGTGAAATTGCTTACATACTCCATACTGCCCTTACAAAAATAAGCTCACTTGCATCTATCTTCGACAACTAATGGCTACTTTTCGTTTGCGAACAGCCCCATGAAACAAACAAAAACGCACCTAAAGGTTACCTATTAATGTATTTACCCATAACCACCAGTAAACGTATGCACTTTTTGGGTGCTTCTTTCATTCTAGGCTGACGTGTATAGCTTTGGGCTGCTACCGTTAATAATGATCATCAGAAAATGGCCTGATCCGGAAAACCTAACATGTCAGGTGCAAAAAGTATTCGATACTTCCCTGCAAGAACTGATAAAAGAGTGCACAGCACAAAACCCAGAGTTACGACCAGACATGCGTAAAGTGGTTTACAAGCTGATGAGAATGAAATCTGGTGCAGTTAGAGCACATTTCAGAAACCGAGAGGAAAAGTATAAAGTCACTGAGAACAAGCTTCAGTAGACACTGATGTTGCAGACCGAACAGTTTATAATGGTAATAGGACCGAGTAGAGTCCAATTCGGTCTGTAATCGTACGAGTGATTAACAAAATCGGACGACCGCGAAGCGGGAGTCTGATTTGTTTATCACGAGTATGTTTACTGACAGAATTGGACGACAAGAAATCCGGTTACCAATGAATCATGACCTTTTCAATTTTCGAAAAAACAAATACACCTAGAACAAATATCTCCAGTGGAGACAATGTCTTTAGTTAAATGTTCCTCCATTTTGGAAATTGCCTTGTTTTTCTTCGGATAAGTGGTTGTTGCTATGGTTATGGTGATCAATTCTGTGATTGGTGGATTTAGTTGAATGGACCTAGTATGATTGGCTGCTTCAACTGTCCGCTTACAACTGTACAGAATGATTAGTGAAAAATGAAGCAGCCGATGAACCAATCATATTTGAGGAAATTATAATGGTTATGATTAGTCGTGTAATAATGCAAATCGTTTCTCTGAAGTTGTCGGGTAGTTGAAAGAAACAAATCAAAAACAAATCAAAAAAAATTAAACCAAACCTAGAAATACATAAAAACGGTAAGATTAGCACTTAGATTATGATTGTTGTAATAAACAAGGTGTTAGGTGTTAAGTTGCTTTTTTAAGATAGGATTTAAAAAATTCAGATTTGACTTTTATTTTTTAACATACTTGATTTTCTGAGAAAATCACAAATTGTAGGTTTTAACTTAATAAGTAGTGTTTTTTAATAGATAGATAGATAGATAGATAGAAACTTTATTAAAGTGTCAAAAACCGTCTAGCTAGGGAACAAATCCCTTACTAATTTGGGAACACCAATTAGGGGAGAATATACAAACTAAAAAAAACTATATACAGTAGTAGGTAAAATATCTATAGTTAACTCATTAAGAGATTTATAGTAAAAATACACAGAAGTCAAAATGAACAAAGGTTACAGCCTGCGCAGCCATCATCTAAAAGTTCACTTATATTGAGTTGGCGTATCTTGCTTTTAAACGACGTTAGGGTTGTGACGTCCCTGATACTCTTGGGTAGTTTTGTCCATAGCCTAGGCCCTAAATATCTAATAGAGTGATTGCCATAGGTGACTGTCTCATACCTAGGTATTGAGAAATCTGCTTGCCGCAGATTGTAATTACTATTTGGTTCTTTAAAGATGTTACTTATATATGCAGGGCACAGTTTATGCTTTACTTTATACATAAGGATGCACAGATCCTGTAAGCGACTATTTAGTAGTGTTGGCAGATCTGCCTTCTCTAATAGTTGTTCATAACTAGAATTATTATCCTTGAAAATCGCTCTAAGTCCTCTTTCTTGTAGTCTTTCAAGCTTTCGAGTGTCACTCGCTTTACAAAAATGCCACACTAGGTGACAGTACGTGAGGAATGGTAATATCGCGCTTTTGAATAATATTAACTTAGATTTCATAGGAATTAAATTACGTAGTCTCATTAGAACACCAATTCTCTGGCTGGCTTTTTTACAGATAGAGATTACATGCTCAGAGAAATTTAGCTTAGAATCTAACACTACTCCTAGAAGTATGATATTATCTTTAGTTTCAGTCACAACATCATTCACGCAAATATTGCTGTCATTTTGAGTGAAGCCCAAGTTCAAAACTTGGTACTTTTTGAGGTTTCCCGCCAATAAGTTAGAATCGTACCACGTTGTTGCTGAGTTGGCACTATCCTTTAACTGGGAAGTCACAGCTGCCTGGTCTGCTCCTGCGTGGTAAATTTGATGGTCGTCGGCATACATAGACAAGTTCGCTGTTAGGCAGTAGGATAGGTCATTCTGGAAAACATTCCATAACAACGGGCCAAGCGCGGAACCCTGAGGACAGCCACGACTCACGAATCGGCTCGAACTAACATGACGGCCGATCTTTACTTGATATTTCCGTTCATTTAAATAGCTGTTTAAAAGTTGAATAGCGCTTTCCTGAAAACCGTACGCTTCAAGCTTGTTCAGAAGTAGTGGTGGGTGTAACGAGTCAAATGCCTTTGACATGTCAGTTGAAAGTATGCTCACAACCTGTTTTCGATCCCTCGCCAGTCTCCAATCTTCTACTAAATTGATCAATGTTGTTTCGCAGCTGTGAGCTTTGCGATAAGCGGATGAGTGTTGGTAAATGCGATTACCAAAGCCAGAGTTGATCTGCGCTCCAACCAACTTCTCAAGAACTTTACTTACACATGGTAAGAGAGTTATGGGCCGGTAGTTTTCCTTTGCATTCCTGTCATCATTTTTTGTATACTGGGGCCCAATGCCCATACTTCCATTCACTAGGCCATGCATTCTTGTTAATACAAGAATTGAACAAGGTGGTTAGTGGAGCGGATAATTCATTAGCACCTGTTTTTAAAGCCTTTGAAGGAATTCCATCAGTGCCGGTGGCTTTGTTTATGTTCAGCGAATCGAGAACTGCAAGGACTTGTCCCTGTGTAACCAATTCGATTTCGATGGTCTGAGTGGAATTCCTATTTTCATGTTGTATCCTCTGAACACAAGGATGGTCTCTAAAGTCCTCTATTGACTTTCTTTCAATCGCTGTACCGCCAATGCCATCCGCCAAGGTAGCAAAATGCTCAACCAATTCCTCAGCCACTTGTTGTTGATTCGTTATCATACTGCCGTTTATTTTTAAGTGGATGTCGTTTCTTTCAGTACAGCTCTTAGAGCCCAAAAATGGCTTGAAAGTTTTGAAGAACGCCTTGGGATTGATTTTCAGATCGTTTGACTTATTATACCAGTACTGTTTGATGGCGATTCTTCTTTGTTTAGTGGCCTCGTTTCTGGCTTTACGTCGTAATTCCCAATTTTCTGGCGTTTTGTCTTTCAAGTACTTGTCATTTGCTTTGCGTTTAGTTATAATCGCACTTTTCCAATGAGACGTCATGTAGGGCACATCTTTATCACGCACACGCATTTTTTTCACAGGTGCCACTTCGTCCAGTATATTGTTCATAAGTGCATTCCACGCGTAAACTTGATCGTCGACGTCATCAAACAATTGTCCAACGTGCCATGGGGCAGAGGACAAAAGCTGTTTATAATGTTCAGGGTCAAAGTTCTTATAGCTCCTAAATGTGATGACCTTTGGTTTGTTGTGATTTATTTTCTGCTTCAGGACACCGTAAACAAGGTCGTGATCACTTAAGCAAGGATGGTAATTACCAGATAGTTGGAAGCTATCCGGTCTATTAGTGAGCAAAACATCTATTAAACTCTCTGTTATAATTATTCCACGCTTTTCTATTCTTGTTGGCTTAGTAATTAGACATTCAAAACCTTGTTCAACTTCCAAATCGAGAAGCAGTTTACCTTCAGGTTTGTCAGGGCGAAGTCTGTTCAGATTTAGGTCGCCAGTAACTACAACAAAATTTCCATTCAAGCTTGCCCAGTTACAGACATAACTGAGTTCGCTTTCCAACAGTGTTTGATATTCGCCACACAGAGCTCTCGGGGGACGATAAATACCAACAATTACCATATTTTCCATATCTGTTTTGATTTCGAAGGCAATTATTTCCAGTGTCTTAAAGGATTTATCAGGTTTAAGCTGTGTCCTGACTAGCGATTGAGATATTAAAGCCATAATTCCACCGCCGCCCTTTTTCCTATCATTTCGGTAGAGGGAGTAGTTCGGAACTTTGAACTGAGCGTTGGGATAGCTCGCGTCGATCTTGGTCTCACTTACGAACATTATGTGGGCGTTGATTTTCTTGATTACTTCGGTCAGTTCTTCAAATTTATTTTGGATGCTGTTAATGTTCAAGTGGGCAATTAAGAAATCCTTATTGTGATGTTTCCTAAAGAGTTCTAGCTGATCGTTTTCAGAAGTAATTTCTGTGACATCTCTGTAAAGAAACTGCTCGAAGGCCGTATTTTGAGTTGTTTCCGCTTGATACTCCTCAGCTGGAATAAGTGTATCACCTTCAGAAACTTCTTCAAAGAAGGAGTCCGTTAGTGGCGGTAGAGCACAAGCTGGACAGGTCCAATCAATATCAGGCTGGTCTAAGTAATACTGGAAAATAGTCCGAGACATATTGAGGCATTTAGCGTGTGACCAGTTTCTACATGTGGCACACAAGATGGCGTTTTGGTTGTTTCTAACTGCTTTGTGGCATTCACTGCATGGGTATTTCAACATAGACTTCTTCTTCCCTTTCGGGCCAGGATTTATGGCCACGTCCCCGCACAGAAGCACATCCCTTTCCAGATTGAAGCTGCTAATTCCTTTGACCGTGTGTGGGACCCTCCGTGAAGTAAATCGTTTAGCACGAGGTTTAAATCTTCTGTGGTTTGTCAAATATGAGACGAATTCAGGTGCAATAAACGTCTTTGAGACGCTTGTAGCCTGGTAAGACCCTAAAAAGTCGCCACTTATACTCACTTGGATTAAAACTTCTGTTCCAAGCAGGAGTACTAGAAATTGTAGCGAGCTCGCCCAGGTCGGTCCAGCCGCCATGACAGCTATTGTTACTAATATAGTTTTGTAAAAATTATGAAAATAAATTTTGTTTTCTTTCTATTTTGTATTTATAATTTTTTCAGCTGATTTTCTTTCTGTAGCAATGTGAATAGGGGCCGTCAATTGCTTGGATTTCTGATACTGAAATGTTGCTATTTTTTCAGCCAAAGATGGTGGGACCAAAGAGTTTCTTAGCGTATTTTACTTTTAAAAGTTTGTTTCTGTCATTATTTTTAAATATAAGTTAAGTATCGATTTCAATTGGTAAGCACAATCAAACGGCTTCAAAAGCAGTCGTTGATCTTCGGTCAAGTATTAGTGCAAGTTTTAAATTGAGTGTCGAAGGAAATCCGCGATTTCATTGAGTTTACTCTTCGTTGTTCTATGATTGGTCAAGAAGACTCGTGCCATTTTCTCCACCAATCGGTCGGATGCAAACCCGAAACCAATCACGCGCGACTTGGTCACACGTGTTTTCCCGCGCTTCAAACCGTTTGGCTATTCTTACTTTGAGTTCTCATCGGCTCCTTGTATTTTTTACCTATGTTCTGATTAGCTACTGTAATAACGAGGGGTTTGGTTTCACGACACTCAGTTGAAAGGTGCTTTCCTTGTATGAGGAAAAAATGAATTAATAATTAATCAATAATCGTGTTTCAAACCGTCAATTATTGAATTAAATGTATCACTTAATAAAAACAGGTAAAAAAAATAAAAAATATATATTACAATTCAAAAAATTTTTTTGGGAGGTGTGGACTTTAAAGTCACTTTCTTTTATAACAAATAGGTTAGAATGTAAAGAGACACTGAAGTCTCTTTAAAAAAAATTACATAGGGTAGATTTTAAAAAGCAATGGTTACATTTTGTCTAAGACATTAAATGTCTTTTATCCGTCTGATGTTGGTTTTGATACGCTTTCTTGATCTTGATTGGTCCGTCTGTGCAGTGAAACTCCGAATTTTGCTTCTGCGTCGATAGTTCAAAGCTTTAATTTTCCCTCCTGGGCAGCACCGCGAGCATTTGAACCTTTGAAGATTGGTTTGTTCAAAGTTGCCTTTAAATTTCCTGCTCAAGCACAATTTTTTATTGAATAATTCTTTGTGTGATTAACGAACGTTGTAGAATTTAGCAAACTCGCGTATTATTTTGTAGTGCCGCTGTTTGGTTTTTCCGTTTATAAGCATCATTCTAAGATGTGAACATTTCCTCTAAGCCATTTGCTCACGAAAGCGGACTCTTTACCTTGAAACTCCGCCATAATTAAAATTAAAACAAGAGTATTCGGCTGGTTCAAATTTGCCACCTCACCCAAGCGAGGCTCAAATCCCCCACCCCTGGTGGCACAGATGCCCGTGGAGTTGCTTGGGGAGAGGAATGTTGAAGCTTCAAATTGATCGACGCTCAAATCTGTCTTGTTAACGAGTTACAAAAGAAAGTTTCAAAATGATGTTGAAGCCTTATGTGACTCTAGATCCATTTCACGCGTCTTCATCAAGTTTGAGAAGCCATCAGGGTTTCTATCCTTATCAGCCTTAGGTGGTTCCGACGTTTATTCTGGTCTCACATTTTTTACTGAGGCGCTACGCCACAGACTCTAGTTTGAAACACGGGGTTGTTTCGTGTGAAGTCACGAATCGCTTTCAGTGATTGTCGCTTTCGTATATCTCAAATTCTATCAGATCGTAATTTACCGACTGCGATCACCGATAACTTGCAAAAACACCTTTTGCAGAAGCAAGCTTTCCCGCCCGCAAGTACTCCTTGCGGTATAGATGGAACAATGAAGCGAGGTTTTTATCTCGTCAAATAACTGGCGTGCCAGATTTTAAACATAAACACCAAGAGATTGTAATCTCTCTTGAACACTTATCAAGAAAAATTTTGTAGAGGACTTGATTTGGTGGAATTTGGAAGAGGGGGACATTTCAGGAGAAAATTAAAAGGGTTTAGTAAAGCTCCACGCCAGCAAGTTTTTTTTTTCTCGTTCATCTCGACAAAATTCATTACAGATTTTTCTTTCGTAATGTACGTCGCCAATCAGAATTGGAGAGTGATTTGGTATCACCAATTGAGTTGATGACGTAAATTGGCCACAGCTAAGAGTTTCAAAACTGGCGTTTCGAGCTTAGCCCTTCGTCAGAGCGAATGACGAATGACAAATGTTTCGCTCTGACGTAGGGCTCAGGCTAATGCTCGAAACGTCAACTCAAAACGTATCCTCCAAGGCAGAAGAGTAGAAGACCATAGAATGGTGTTTATTAGGCACTTTCACTTACCCTAATCATATATTCAAGCAATAGTCTACATATGTAAAACTGGTTGCATGATGTCTTTAACCCTTTACACCCTAACATCAGTATACATATTCTTCATACTGTTCTCTATACATTTCCCAATGTGCTGGCAAGGAGAATTTGTTTAATAATCAAGAGATTCTTCAATTGACCATCAATTCCTTTATTCTCATGACCTCAATGTTTGATTCAGGGATGATGTTGAAAAGACAAATTAGATGCCAGTCACTCTTAGGGATTAAAGTGTTGATAACTGCACACATTTTATTTGCTCCTTGCATTTGTGGGCAACAATGGTTAAGGCTGCCAGGAAAGCCAACAAGTAAATGAACAGAAGACAATGAAATGAGGGAAACTGTAAACTTTATCATATGATAGAAAAAACTTCACAGAATACTTAAAAAGGGAAACTTGAATTGTGCTAGCTAATTTCCTCTAATGTCCTTCATGTCTTTGATCAAATAAAATTTAATCAGTCGTAGGGTTTGCCTGCAATGTGTCAAATTACCAGTTAGTGTGGACTTGGTTCTTCTCAGATGTCAGCTGGTAAAAGATAGAAGCTAAAAATAGATTTCCATAAGAAAAAGTACCCATCATCAAAAGAATCACTCTGAAGTGGTGGCCTGACTGATTTGTGATATTTAAAATGACAGAGGCACGAAAAACACATCCAGCTTTTTCCTACTCACCAGTAAGTTAATTAGATTTTGGATTCTACATTCAAACTGGGTGAGATTAAATTTATTTATATCATGCTTCATTATGGTTTGTTTACATGGAAAGGTAATCGTTGTTATAGCTTCACAGATGTTATCGTTGCTGTCGTAATTAACATTCACAACAAATTCCATCTAACATCGAATGTTTCAAGAACTTTCTTCCTTTCTCAATACCATTTACTATTTCTGGAGCACTATTAAAGGAAGCGGGTTGTTAAAAGAATTTTATAAAATAATTCAAATAGTACGCGCGCTCTGATTGGCCATAAAACCATTTTACATGAGCGTATGTAAACACGGTTTTCGTTCCTCTTTCATTAGTTATTTTATAAAAGAAATGTAAATGTAAGCTGGAAACCACTCCGCTTCGCGTCGTGGTTTCCTACGCTTATCTCGTGTTCTCCCAACCTCCCGCGTGTTTACATCAGGCTTTGTAAACACGGAAACCATTTTACATTTCTTCAATAACTTTTGATTCTAGTAATTGAATATTTGATTAAAATTTGATGTCTTCACATGTAACAGGATGGTCAAGCTGAAGATAGCCTCAAAAAGGAGTGAACTCCATTGTAACAATTACATGACTAATTTGGAAACTTGGGCACTTGGCAAATACACCATGGCTTGCAGTTCTCATGTTTACAGTTTGTTGAGGTAATTGAAATGTCATTCCCCATGCAGGAACCCTCCACATGACCTGTACAGTCATATGCTATGAGATAATCGTGAACATTTGGAGAAGTTATGGTGGTAATTGACCCCTTTTTGCTGAGATGCATAGGATCTGATAGTGTCAATCTCCAAAAGACGCCGTGTATTTCTAGGTAGAGGGCAATCATGAAACAATAGCCAGAAGAGGAAAAGTTTTAAAAAAAATTGCAGGTTAAAACATGAGTTGAAAATTACTTTTCTTTTTAATTTTTACGCTAAACTGAGGAGGTTGAAACGTTTGGGTAAAACGGTGGGGCAAGCAGTCATACCTGGCAACTTCAAGAGAAGATATAAGAGAAGCTCATACGATTCTGGCGTATTGTTTTACTGACTCACTGTTCACACGTGTATATTAGAGTGGTTTAGCAGGAGGACGGGAACGTCATATCAGAACGGCGCGCGTAGCAAAAATGTCGATGAGAAACTGGCTCGAGAACGCCGACGCGTTGTGTTGAATAGTGATTTAGCAGTCGTTGCAACAAGAATCCTCACCTCGGCTTTTTAAAGATCACCATCACCTTTGAGTTTTCGGTTTTATAGACCACTCTAAGGACAACGAAATTATCATCTTTGAGAATTATGTAACAAGCGCAAACAGGGGATAGTTATAGACACGGAAAGTAAGTAGTCAATATGAATCCACATGGGCGATTAAACTTTGAAACTATTCCATTCCAGTTTAGTCTCGAGTCTGCTGATTCATCTATCAATTTCTGAAGCCCACTAAAAAGAAAAATTTTCTATGATTTATGTCGCTGTCATTTCGTTTCGTGCTATGAGATTTCAGCACTACTCGATTTTCTTCATAATTTTGTAAAGGATAATTTGGAAATCGTCGTCGTTTTCCCCCTTGTTTACTGAATATTCTTCTCGATTATGACAGTGCATCTCTTTTGAGCACCACCTTCTTAAAGTTGCAATGCATTTTGAACGGAATTATCAGGAGTTATGGCGAAACCATGTAGAAACTAAGCGACCCAACGATGGAGTTGTTTACGATGAGTTCCTATTTATCTGTGAAAGAATGAAATTAACTCAAACTATAGTCACCAACGAAACGGTTAGACGTAGGAATAAGACTTCGTTCCTGTTTAATTTTTTTGTTCGTTTTTTTAACGAATGAAGTCGTTCAAGATGAATCAAATTAACAGATTTAGAAAGCCGTGCCGAAATCAAGTTGATTATCATTATATTTCGAAGCGAGAGCATGACTTTCACCGGCGCTGATCAAAAATTCCAAACATAAAAAAGTGCAAACCTGAGCTATTCTCAATCTTTTTTCATCTCTGACTCCAATTCGCAGAAAAGTTTTCAATCACGGTAAAAACGACAACAACAACAAATAACACTGAATAATACAGTAGGTAAGCGTCGTGATATTTCATTTTGATAAACTTCAACATGAAGCAAGTTTAATTTATTGATAAATTGATTCATGATAAAATTAACAGCGTCCCATTCTTAGAGTTTTCATACAGGATTAAAGAAATGTATCAAAGAACAGCCCTTTCGCTGTTTTAAGCCTTGCTCAATTACAAGTGTACTGAACCCTGAAATCTCGGATACGGCGCTTGCCAACGATTGTGTTTCCTTTCGGGAATCCAGCATAAATGAAGCGGTAAATTTTCCCAAAATACACCGAATGAACCAAAGGAAGGGACCAGGTTATCCTGAAAATGAGTTCTGAAATAATTCCAAATAGCATTACCTCGTTTATAAGCGCAAAATTTGGGCAAATCCCTGGCGTTTTGATCTCGACGGGAAAACCGGCGTAATGACGTCCTGAACTTGTTGAGGAGAACGGCAACGCTAACAACGGAAGTCGTAATAGAGTCGTATCCAGACTATCTGCGCGCTTTCCCGCCCTGAAATGACGTTCCCGTCCTCTTGCTAAATAGAGACCTTGCGCAACAGGACGGCAGAATGAGGACGGCGACCGTGGACCGCGCGAGTACTGGTCCGAGCACGCGAGGGTTGACGTTGCCGTCCTGAACGTAAACAAACCTTACGCAATACAACGCGACATGCACAGGCCCCGAAGGAAAAATGGCCACCTTCAGGGAGGCAAGAGAGGCTCTTTTGCTTGCTAATGCCTTGGATTTGATCGCCGATGAAGAAATGCTGTTACTCTACGACGTTAACACTTCAAAGAATCTTGACATTCCTTACTGGAAGTACGAAAAATTCAATCTGGACTCTCTTTCCGACGACGAATGCAAAAGCGAATTCCGTTTCTTAAAACATGATATCTACAATCTGCTCGACGTTCTGGATCTTCCTGACAAAATTACCTGCCCAAATCGTTTTTATGTTTACAGTGATGAAGCGCTATGTTTGCTTCTGCGTCGTTTTGTTTTCCATGCAGGTACGAAGACCTTGTTCCCCGATTTGGAAGGCCTGTACCGCAATTATGTATGGTGGTGTCTGAGATGATGGATATTCTTTATGCCCGCTTCGGACAGTTGTTTTCTGGTATTAATCAGCCATGGCTATCACAAGCAAATCTAGTTGATTTTGCAGAAGCTATCTACAATAAAGGAGCCGCCCTTGACAACTGTTGGGGATTTATAGACGGAACTGTACGACCAGTTGCTAGGCCTGGCGAAAACCAAAGAATATTGTACAATGGCCACAAGAGAGTGCATGCGATAAAGTTTCAAAGTGTAGTTGCACCAAATGGTCTGATCGTAAACCTTTTTGGACCTGTGGAAGGATGCAGACACGACAGCGGAACAGAGTAGTTTTCATAATTAATCAAGTTGTAAATTACTGCACAACAGTAAAGAAACAAACTTAGACATAAAGAAAATGGGCGAACACTGAGTATGCTGTCCTATTTCCGGACTTCTTTTACAATCATATACACAGTTATATCATACCTTGAAACGGCACTAATACCATCTAAAATTTTATCTACCTTTATTACATGAAATTTGAATTAATGCCGCCTCGAAAGTGTCGCTAAATTAAAGTGAGTACACTGTGAAATTTTGCCATCTGTATGTCTATGGGATAAAATGTTGCCATCTGCAAAAGTTGAATGATTTTTTTTATATATATTTAAATCAAGTTATGACATTTATAATTTTATCAAATACATTTTCGCATCAAATAAGCTTAAATATTTTGAATTCGCAAAAGTTTCAGTTCGTGAAATCGCTAAAACTAAGTGACTTATGTTCCAAAATTTTACGAAAAATCGCTAAATTAAAGTGTCGCTAAATGGGAAATTTTCAAAATCGCTAAATTAACATGTCGCTAACATTTCATGCAATAAGGTATACGATTTAAAATTTAATCTATATCTATCTTTATTATAAATTTTGTAAGTTACTTTCACTGCAACAAGGGCCGTGAATTTTTATCGCATAAAGACGGCTCCGGCTCTTAGTTTTTATCCGTAATTACGATGAGAGTTAGTCAAGAAGTTGTCACTTTACTAAACTGCCAACAGAGAAAACCTTAAATGCTTACAATCCTTACTAATTCATTTCTACTTGTGCCCAAAAAATAACAAATTATTGCTCATTAGGCGAAAACAGCGACATGTAAACACACCATTTTGCGTAACAAGTTCGCTTCATTTGCCGTTTGTAAAAAGACCTATCACCAGACACAGAGGCTCATAATTAAAGAAATAATATGTTTCTATGCTATAACCGAAGAAAAAGACAGTTTAGATTAAAATAAGGGGATAAAAATACTCACGTTCTCCTCACAACCTCAGTCGCCTTGTTTTCACGTCGTGAACGTCAAGAGGACGGCAGTCTCAAACCGGAAGTTACGTCAAATGGCTCACGAATCAGGTTGTCACGCGCGTCACACGATCAATTTTGCTGTCCTCTCCCTTCTGCCGTCCTGTTGCGTAAGGTCTCTAATCACTCTATTCTCCAATCGACCGGCGAAGTAGTTTACCGTCGTTTCTTTCAATTTTGGCTCATTTTCCCTGACCAAAATTATCAGTCACGGTCAACAGAATATAATTTCAACTGATGCTGACATCATACACTTCATCTGAAGAAGAAAAGATTTCCCATCTTCGAAAATTTGCTCAAAACATTAGGAACAACATGGTTGTTGGCTGCTTGAAGATACCGTTGACTAGCATGCACGATGATCGTTTTGGAAGTTGTGAGAACGCCGTCCCTTGGTTCCAGACCTCGTCAATTCTCCCCTCCCCTCCCAACCCCCCAAACTGGTTCCTAGATCCCGTTTAAAAAACTCTTCTACAGCCAATGCTGAAGAGATTTATTACAGTTTTTATCATAATGAGGAGCTAGAAATAAACTAACAAGAGCTTCGCTTTTAGGCTTGGCTAAATCTATATATTATGTAAAGTATAGGACATTGTATGCATTGGGGATAATGATTCCTCATACACGAGGATTTTTTTGGAGTAGGTACGTCATGTATGGGCTATTATTATGTCCACAATAATATTATGTCCTATACTTTACATACATGTAATGTACTTTACATACAATACCCTACACACACATACACGGCTAAACAAGGCTAGATACAGCTATACACAGCTCTACAGGGCTATACACAGCTATACAGAGATATACAGAGGTATACACAGCTATACAGAGATGAATTTTCTTAATTTTCTTTTAAATTCTTACTCCGAAATAGGCCGAAGATACCACTTAAGTGCTCAAGCGATCGTAGAAAACCTGCAAAGCTGAACGAAAAATGTTATCCACTACTTAGTAGGATAAGAACATTCAGACTAATGTGATTTACTTGGATTTTGCGAGAGCATTCGACTCAGTCGATCATGCCATTCTCTCGACCATGCTAAGGGCGTATGGGGTCTCGCGACAATTACTTGCATGGTTCGCTGATTATTTAACGGTTCGAGCTCAAAGTTTTGCACGGTGCTGCATCGCAATGGGCCCTGGTTACTTCCGGCGTCCTGCAAGGGAGCCTGTTAGGGCCATTATTGTTCACAATCTTTATTAACGATCTCCCGGGTGAAAATGTAGGCGGGATGAGGGCAGCTTTATACGCTGATGACACCAAGCTGCATAAAAACGTCCAGCTCCGTCAGCGATTGCCTGTCTCTGCAGACCACTCAAGCAAACGTGGATGACTGGTCAAAGAGAAATAACATCAACTTCAACACCTACAAATGCACAAAGCTTACTGTGACGCGGATGAAAACTCCCTTGATTTACGACTACATCCTAAACAACACACAACTTGTGCGGGTGTCCGCGGAAAAAGATCAAAGAGTTACAATTACGGGTACGTTGTCTTGGCACTCTTATATATACAACATCACCACTTGAGACAACAAGCTCCTCGGGCTCCTAAAGCGGACATGTCCATTACTAAGTGACGTGTCTACCCGGTGCGCGCCATACTTATCACTAGTCAAGTCACAACTCTTCTACGCTATTCAAATCTGGTCGCCTGCTCAGGTTTCCCTGAAGGCACAAGTCGAGTGAGTGCAGCGGCGCGCTACCAGATGGATCTTACAAACCCGGATTGGTGATATGTCCTACAGAGATAGACTTATTACCCTGGACTTACTCCCTCTTACCTACGACAGAGAACTGAAAGACTTAGTATTCTTTTATAAGTGCTTCTTTAATCATATTCACCTTGATGTATGTAGTTTCACAAACTTTATTTCTCACGGCCGTACTGGACTAAGTAACTCCTTTAATTTAAAAACACCAATCTGTAAAACGAGCACTTTCAGGCCTCCTACTTCAATGGCATTGTGAAACTTTAGAATTACTCTTGTTCTATTGCTCCTTCCTCTAGTTTTTCGACTCCGCTCTCCTTCCAGCTTTTCGTCAAACAAACACTTTTTGACTGCCGGAGAGCGTCCTTTGACATTGACTGGCCCTGTACGTAGACACTAATTAGAACTTGCTCATGCTACAAGCTAGAGGTGTAGTTAGTACTATGTTATAAACCAAATAAAGTTGTTAAAAAAGTTGTCAATTCAAATGGCAGAAATTGAAGCAAATTCAGACTGACTTGTTTAGTCTTCTTGTAGCATGTAACCTGTTCTTTCTTTGTCAAGAATTAATACAATGGTTTTCGACAAGGTTTCGACAAGTTAAGGTCATTAGCATATACTAAAGTAGTGGATAGCGTGGAAGGTGCGCTTTGATTAGCTACTCAAACTCCGAATATCCTTTGCTATTTACCTCTAAGCAACTCGCGAGTTTCACACTCCCACACGTGTAGGAATAAATCGATTAAAATCATTTTTTTGTGCTATATTATCTCACTGACTTGGTGTGTACTAAAAAAAGCCATTCGCCTTCGTGTCGTGGTTATTAATGAGTATTTGCCAAGCCGCTTTGCGGCTCGTTAAATATCTGCTTCTAGCCACCTCCACTTCGGTAAATAGTTATTACTTATATCTGAAATAACCTCGATGTACAGAATTTGTTTCAGCACAAATGAAGAAAACATAATTTTCTCCATTAAATGATTTCCGGCTCAATTTCATGAACGTGAGCATTTACAACTTAGTACAAGTACAAGAATTCATCCTAATAAAGGTGCCAAGACATCTGGAGGATCTCGAAAAATTTTCGGTTCAAACCTCGATATATGAGGAGGTATATAGCATTATCAGAATTTACAACTGCTTATTTAACCTAGGGTTATTGAACAGTTATCGAGTACCTTTTGTGGCATCATAATGGCCTGGCCCAGAATGATCATATGAAATGTAGATGGGTGTGGTGGTAAGGAACTCGTGTTGTAGGAATGGTACCGTAGGTGTAGAAGGGAGAGCGGCAACAATCACAATTGGATTTTCAAGACTTAAGCTGTTGCTCTCGCGCATCAACCATCAACTTCATTCACGAAAAATCCGTCTTGGCTAAATTTGTAAACGTCTTCTAACCCATTAACGCTAGTTGTCATCCAGTCTCTGTACTCTTCAATGTTATCAGAGACTTCTTCACAAACAGCTCCCTAAGTCTACGTGTGTCGAAAGCTTCACTAATTCCAAATCCAAGGGAAGTGCAGTGATCTTCGATATGTTCCCTGTATTCCCTCGAGTGTCTATTGAGCTGTGAGGCAACTGCTTTGAAAAAACAGTTCCCATCTCTTTCGATCTTGTCAACTTCAAGGTTAAAACCCGAAAGATTCCTTATCAAACTATCCATGTGTTGAGCAGTTAAGTCTAATTCCAAAGAATTCACCTTCTTCTCTACTTCTATAAAGTTTTCAGTTTTTAAACTGGTGGACCAAAGGAAAGCCAGGATATTTACCGTTTTGTTTTTACATCTTTCCCTAAAGGTGTCCATAAAACCTTGGAGATGTAGAACTCTTTGGATGATATAATCTACGATACTCCGGGTTTTAAGTCGCTCTACGAGTCG